CTTCAACCAATTGGCAAGAATCAAGCCGCTCGCGATTTTCCTTGATCATCGCTGTCCGCCATTTATTAGTTGCCCAATGGCCCACTCAGATCTCAGCCAACAAGCTCCATCGCCTTCGTCCGTCTGGTCTCGCTGAGCCCTATCACAATAGTCCCGACGATCCTGCAGCCAGAGATTCCCTTTTCGACCTTGCAATTGGCAACTCCCCCGCTGTGCAAGTCTGTGACCTACCGCGTTGGCTGGCATCCTGTTTCCTCGCGCCACAGCATCAATCGTCGTCGTTTGACCAGTCCATATTCCTGTCCGAATCTGTATCGACTGCTGTTTAATATCCCCTAATCCATTGCTCCCGTGAGTCCCTGTTGCCACAATTGTTCTTGCAAATCAGGTCGCACTGGCGACTGCGGTGCGACCCCCAATGCGCTATGGGCAATCCCAACTGGCAACACAAACCCACGGAAATAAACCTCCCATCGTCGTCTGGGGAAAGATTGTCTGACCTTTTGCAGATACAGACTGAGATCTCGATACGATGGATATTGTATGAAACAGAAGGAACAAAACAAAAAGAAGGAAAACCCGTTCTGAAACTACGTCGCTATGGACGCCCGTCCGCATACTTCTTCGTCGTCCACGACGTCACCCGTGTTAACACAGCCTCCGCCGCTACAAGCACCACCTAAATTTTCCAGATATCGTTCCGTCCGGAAAGCTGCTGAGGCACAGGCAATTCAGAATGCAGCTGCGCAGTCCTTTCCAACTCCCTTGAGCCCGCCCCCGTTGCCTATGAGTTCCGAGATCGGTTCGCCGCCGCCGTTCTCTAAGACACAGAATGAATCGATCAAGCGCAGCATGTCTAGATACCGACACGCGAAACCTAGTGCAACCAAGACTGCCTATCCTGTCCCTTCCCCCTCGCCGCTTCCAGCTGCGGTGACATTACCTACCCGTCCACACACAGACGGAGACTGCATGCAAGACCTTCAGGCAAGGGAGCAACACGAGATTACCCCGAAGCAGCAGGGCGCGGGATCTACCAGGCTACAGGACCACTCGGACACGGCGCCTGCATCCGATGCGTCTTGCTCTCAGGGAGCTGTGCAGTCAACAAGTCAAAGTCATGACACCAAAGGCTCACATGGAGCGGGTCCCATAGATAACATCGCGGAAGATACAAAGCCACCCACTGGATATTTCTCTCTAGAAAGGCATAGTAGTATGTCCAGCATGGAAGACTCTCGACCCCGCCGATCACGTACGCATACTGATCCTGGGCGTGCAAACGTCCGCTCTCCCACGAGTGAATCACATAATACCCCCGCCGTGCCTGGTAGACTACGCACCGTTCCTGAGCCAAGAATGCTAGACATTCAGGACCATGTGCAAAACATTACCAATGAAGAGCTCGCCGCGAATGAGAGAGCGGCTGCAGCGCATAATGGTTTGAAGTCGAAACCCCAACTAGTGAAAGTGAAAGGGGGCGGGTTCTTGTCACGGATGAAAGCCTTGGATCCTACTTCGAGCTCGAAACCTAACAACAACAGCAGCGGCGGCAACAGTCATCATAATAATAATCGAGAAAGATTAAAGACACTCATCTCTTCTCCACTACCAATCAGCCCTGACGAGGTCAAGGTGGCCTCTGGCAATGAAGCACCTATCTCTGCTGTCAATGCCGGCGAAAGAAAAGTCCTGGTAATTTGCAACGACTCCTTTATATGTCTCCCGTTTACCCCGACTACGCAGGCGCAGGATCTCCTAAATTCGGCGGCAAACTGTTTGTCAGAGAACATCGAGCCGCAATCTTCGATTCTCTTGGAATCTTTCAAGCAGCTCGGTCTAGAACGACCACTGCGAAAATACGAACACGTACGTGATGTCATGAATTCATGGGATAGCGATTCGCAGAACCATTTAATGGTGTCACGGCTGCCGGACCAGCGTGAGAGGGAGGGCCTCGATGTCAGATTGGCTCCGCGTAAGCAGCCCTCGGAATCTATATTCCACCTTTACCATTCTCAACGCCCGGGCAAGTGGGAAAGACGCTGGGTTACCCTGCGGTCAGATGGCCAGGTCACTATCGCGAAGAAGCAGGGTGGAGAGTCCATGAATATCTGCCATTTGTCTGACTTTGATGTCTACTCGCCTACCTCACTGGAGACGGTGAGAAGGGTCAAGGCTCCGAAACGGATATGTTTTGCAGTCAAGAGCCAGCAGAAATCTAGCATGTTCTTGACAACGGAGAATTTTGTGCATTATTTTGCCACCGATGATGAGCAAATAGGGTTGGGGTGGTATAAGGCGGTTCAGCAATGGCGGAGCTGGTACCTCGTGAATGTTCTGGGCGAAGGTGATAAGGAGGAAGATTCGATTAATTCGGATGCGAAATCTCCGCAGTCGGGAGCCCAGAAGTCGAGGTCACGTCAGGGTTCCGATGCCTCTATTCCCTATCAACTTGGAACATTCAAACCGCTTCTGGATATGGATATATCAAAGTGGAAAATCGAGCCTATCGACAACATCCCAGAGGAGGTTTCCAATGAGCCATCCATATCAAAAGCTGCTTCCGTCCATGGTCGCCCAACGCGCCCTCAGAAACGACCCTCCACACCCGCAAAGAAATCCAAAAAGGAGCCCACCACCGAATCAGACCCCGACCCCTTTGTTTCTTCAGGCCTACTTGGTAAAACATACGCCCAACGCAAAAAGGCTCTAGAGGAACGGGAAAAAGACGCTTCCCAACAAGCATTCACCGGCCTTGGCCTCCTCCGAAACCTAGCCACTGAAAGTCCCACTTCCCCCAGTGACCGCCCAAGTCGCCGAAACAGCCGCGACTACACGTCACCACAAATCCCCACAAGCCCCAAAGATAGCATCAATGGCGGCCCCTTCAGCAGATCCAAGTCCGTCAAGCAGAAACCCAAACCCCTCATCGACCTGACGCCCGTATTCCAAGAACCGCCCCAACACACACGAAAGGGGCGAGGCGTTGCCGCGGAACACGGGCAACCGCTGGTCGAGGCAGCCACGAGCCCTGAAGTGCCGCCCGGTGCAATTGTAATTCCCAGCGCAACCACCTGGCGAAAACCAGTACAGTCACCTGCGACTTCTCACGGTGCTCCTCCCAATATCACCCGCGGCGGCGGAAGCATCCACCATACCCGCCCCACAACATCCCATGGCACCACCACCACTGTCCGACGCCGTGAACGCGCCGCTACAGTTAACAGCAGCAGCTACAACAACGAGTCCATCCCGCCATTGCCCGTCACAGCCCCCGGGACAATGCTACCCGAAAACCTCCAATCCAAATCTCAAGCCCACGCCCTAACCCACACATCCCCCTTCGCGCCTACAGGTCTCCTTGCCCGCGCTGCCACAACCGCCGCGCGGCCGCCGGGCCGGTATGACACCGGCCGCGGTGTGGCAACGGGCGATAGGAATAATTTCGCGAAGCCGATGGTGGATCTATCGCAGGAGAGTCAGTTTGTGGAGGGGAGTTTGTTGAGGGGGGTTGAGGCGGGAGAGGTTGTTGTTGGGAAGGGGCCTGTTGCTGGTGATCGGAAGTGAATTATGCAGCAGGGGCGGGGGTAGGTTAATAATATGACCCTTTCTTTTTTCCTAGGATTTAACTGGTTTGAAAGGGTCTGGTAGGTATGTTGAGGGTTGGGAATCTGGTTTGGGGAAATTTACGAGTTTGATTTCCTGTATTGTCTGTGGATGATTGATTGGCGATGTCATTGATTTACGAATGGGCCTCTTATATTGTTATTGGGAGGGAGGGTGTTTTCTTATCTGTTCTTCTACTTCTTGTGCTGCCCTACACCTTAGCAGCACAGCCTCCCTTCCACTTTTCGGAGCTTTTTTCTTCTTTTCTTCTTTTCTTTCCCTCGCCCTCTTGAAGGACGCGAAGGCTTTCTTTCTTCTTCTTCTTCTTCTTCTTCTCCCTTTTCAACCATACAGGGTATCCATCCGTCACTGCACTTCTCGGGATTTATTATCTTAACATTACATAACTATATATTCTTCTTTTTTCTGTTCATTTTCTTCTCGCATCAAAAAAACAAACCTCTTATTTTTTTACCCTTGCTTCTTTCCCCTTCTCTTCGCTCTATATATGCATTACACTCTGCGAGGGAAGATTTGAGGTCCGGGGGAGGGGATTTGGCATGAGAAGAGCCTGAGCGGGCAACCAGGCGAATAATGAAATTTAAAATATACATATATCATCTCTACTAGATTTACCTGTGTCTGTTTTGTCATTTCAATGTCTACAGTACAAAAAAGTAATAAATAGTCACGTGATCAATTCACGACAATAGATCCATGGATCCGATCCTACACAGCAAAACATTCTCTTCTCCATCGCATCCCACAAGGGGACATCAAATAGTGAAAAGATGAATCCAACCCCATCCAAGCCGCGTATATAACGCAGGCCCGTACGAGAACAAAGAGGTATACAACAGCGACGACAAATCAAGGTCATCAAGCCATTGTACATCATAAAACCACAGCCACCCTTTCAGCCTTCTCTATTTGATGATAGGAGGCGGCGTGGCATGGTTTTTTTTCTCAAAATTGTTTCAAAAATTCCCAGCCGATCCGAAGACCAACATGGAGCGGTCAGTAGTTGTAGTTTTCAACTAGCAAAAACGTTGCCTCAGGCGAACCTTCACTGGTAACGTAAAACCCGTGCACTTGGATGGGGAAGGAAAAGAGAGAGAAAAAAGAAGAAGAATAAAAAGAGTTGGGGGACGACGAGGAGTATTTATAGGGTTGGGCGTGGGAGTCACGGGTGGCGCTAGTCGTAGCCGAGATTCAGGGCGGATGCTGATTGGCGGATTGTCGGATGTTAGTCAGCGGCTGGTCTGGTCATGTGATGTAATGTTTGTCTTGTTTGTGTATGGAGTGGCGAATGTGTGGTAATAATGTACTATACATTACATATATACACAGGAAGGGGAGGCGGTGCGACCGACCAGAAGCGCATATGGAAGTTGCAAGATGGAGATTATTGTGTGACGGTTGTAATTACTAACGGACTCGCTCCTGCAGGGGTATCCATATATATATTTCCGAAAAGTATCCGCCTTTCCATGTCTGTCAACAGCCCAAGACATCTGATGTAGCCCTTGAAGGAGAGAAAACAAGATGTCAATAACTCCCTTTGCAATGAATAAATGAAAGGCAGAAAGAAGAAAAACAAGGAAAGTAACGTTATCCCATCACGAGCCCCCCGACTTCGCTTTGATCTCCTCCATCTGCGTCAGAATCACCTCCAACTCCCGCTCCCGCTCCTTCACCCTCCCGTTATCCTTATCCTTATCCTTATCACCTCCCTCCTTCAATCTCTCAATCTCCTCCCTAATCTCCGTACTGTTTTTCCTCAACTCAAAATACCTCAAATACTCCCCCTTATCCCCGCCGAAACACACCCCGTACCCCTCACAATAACAAGTATACTCATCCGGACAATACTCCTCCACCCGCCCAAACACATACTGCCACAGATACTCCCACACCCGCCCGCTCAGCCGGTCATCCAGCGCCGTCGCCAACAACCAATTCCGAAACTCCACATAGCGCTCGCGCGGCACGGAGCGGATCCGGTCGGCGCTCACGGCAAACTGGCCGCAGCAGGGCTGCGAGAGGACGCGGGGGATGGGCGTTGTGGGGAACAGTTCGGTCCACGCTTGGCCCATCACGGCGGATTCGGGGATGTTTAGGATGTCGTCTTGGCTTTGGGTTTCGCCCGTGTCGCTGGCGCTGGCGCTTTGACCCGCCGTCGTCGTTTTGGTGGTGCCTTGGTCGGTTGGGATGGTGGGGTGGATGTGGTCCGGGCAGCCCGGGTTGTGGTGGCAGCGCAGGTTCATGTAGCCGTCGCGCAGGACCTTGGCGCTGCGGAGGCGTTGGACGGCTTGTGCGGAAGAGGAGGAGGAGAGAAAGTCGTTGTTGTGCCATGTGACGGCGTGGGCGTGCATGAAGATTGAGATGTCTGGGAGGGCGTGGTAGGTGTCTATTATGTAGGTTAGGTAGACCATGGCTTCGTGGCCCTTGTTGGCGGGGACGGTGAGGTAGGGGGATATGGTGGGGGTGGTGTTGTTTAGGGTGGTGGGATTGTCGACGATATAGATTGCGGTTGTGAGGGTGGGGTCTGCGGAGGAGAGGCTGGAGGCCCAAGTCGTGTCTTATTCGAGCAGGGAGGCGATTACGAGGGTACGGGTGAGGTTGTGAGGCGTGGACGGTTCATTTTGAGGCCGTTTGGGGTCGGAGCTGGACGCTGGAGGAGGAGGAGAAGGAGGCGGAGGAGGGCGAGGTGGTGAAGAGGTAATCGGACTCTGTACAGACGAAGCCGGATAGGATGTATTTGGCGCGTGGAAGGAAAAAGGACCCTGGCTGCGATAGTAGAAGGCCAGCAGCAGGAGGAGGACGATGGCCAGCGTAAGGCTGATCAGCTGCCTGCGATTGGGATATGTGCATTGCATTGTGCAATGCCTCACTCACTCATGGTTATATTGGGGGGAGGGAGGGGAGTGGTCAGGCCATAGCGGTAACTAGGTGATGAACTAATAGACCGAACAATGAGATGAAAAAAGGCCGTCAAAACACAAGCTTTGATGAAGCTGATGGGATGAGTCGTTGTCTCTCGCAACCGCCATTTTGTTTTTTGCCTCTTCTAACCGGCTGAATTGCCCTCTTCCACCTGCAGATCATGGGTTAGCCCTGGCTCCAGCTGTTCGGGTTTGGGCACGGAAATCCGAGTGATGATAGCAAGGGGGAGGAAATGATGTTTATGCGAGGAGTTAACAACAATGCTTATGCCAGTAATATCATTATTTTTCTTGATGTGTTTTGCTCTGGTGTCAGCTTCTACTGTTTGCAGTCCTACAGGCTACTTAACGCTGTTCCAGTCTTCTGTTTCTGATATACTTGAATAGCTATGAGAAATACATCAGGTAAAGCCTTCGTACACACATACATAAGCATTAGATGTACACTGGTGTCTCATCTGAAGCCTCATTCTTCCCCCCGCACTGTAGTCTGTGCCACACAACAAGCGCCCGCGCCTCAATGCGGCCTGAAACAATCACCCACCTAGTTACACAGTAAGTTAAGTTACGCCTTATTACCAATGCGGCCGTGAAGGAACGCCAATTCACTTTTTTCATTTTTACGCCATGGTGAACACAAATATTTATCTTGTTGTCAGCCCAGTAAGGTGCAAAGCCTCATGATGATCACTGCCAGTCATTAATTCACACCAGCCAACAGTCAAACAATCCAACTGTCTGGCGCTTAGGACCCTGCATCTGATTGGCTTGTCAGCGGCGAATTTTGTTTGTTTCTCGAGCGCCAACTTTCTCCAGCTCCGATTGGCTGCCCCTGAAGAATTGCCCCTGTCAGAACGCGCGGGAACCGGTGGATGAACCATGGTACCTAATCTCAGTAGCCACCACATGGGCCAATAATGAAGCGATGGTTTGGGAAGGAGTGGGGCCAAACGGCGGCTAAAAGAGTTTATTCTTTTCCAAACATTGTTTCTTGTTGTTTGCAACTTGGCCGCGCGCGTTTGGGATTTGGTATTGGGATACAACGAAACACTGGAGAGCGACGCTGAGAAGGACGATGTTGTGTTCTTATTCTGTGAAATACGGAGTTGAAATCTGTCAACTTCGTATGTATCAAGAGTTCATCGTCTACTTGGCGCATGGGTGGGTTGCAGTGTTATGCAATTATTTTGGTTACCTCTCGCGTTGGTTTAGTCTACCAACAAATTCTCTCTGTTATCACAACTCTGCGGATGGAGAGTTCCAGGACAAATATAGAGACGGCCGTCAGCCTTTGCTATGTTGATCAATTGATAATGATCCTTCAACTCTCCCTATCGTGCAAAAAAAATCAGCCCCAAAATTTACGAAACCCATTGAGTAATGACGACTTATAGCGACTGGCAGCCTTTCTCGGCGTGCCTATGATAAGGCAGTCGGCCAGTGTGCCAGTGCCTTAACTTGTCTTGAGCCCGATTCCGACGGGAGTTTGAAGGGGCCAGAGGTTCTATCCTTGATGTTCGATTGGATGGCAGTGGGGTGGGGTTGGTATGGGGCGGCACAGATACTAACTGGATCCTGAAGGAAATAGATCAGGGGTGGTTTGTTTTAATATTCATTTTATCTGAAAATATCTGCCGTGAAAAGTTCGAATCGAACTGATTATCATAGTTAACTACTAGGCGGGAATTGATAATAAACAATGATGTAAAAAGGATGTGCATCTTCTCACCGTTTCACTATGGGGTATTTCTCTAGGTTTCGACTAGAGTAGGTAACTAACTATAAACTATCCAGCCATTTTTCTTCTAGATAATCTTCAGGCACAGGATAGTAAGATAGAGAGAAAACAGATGCATCCGCTCTCGCTAACTCCAAAAACTGTGTGGTCTGGGCGTGTTTCTGTTGTTGGCTTGCTTATCTTTCTGCGATGCGTCCACTGAAGCCCTGAATCTTTCGCCTGATTCTGTTTCTCTTCGTCTCTTCCATTCTCATTCTTCTTTTCTTCTTGATTCCCGCTGTGACACGGCAGTAAACTCCCTTGTTTCCCCAGTAATTGATATCCAATCCCACCATCTGCTGTATGTGCCACTATCCTTGTGTTCTCTCCTTGCTATCTGATAGCGGAGTTTGTCACACACTCCAGCTCCGATCTGCGCGGGATAACATAAAAAGAAACAAGAAAACAGGGAACGAAAAAGTCCGTTCTTAGATCATCGACATGAGACGGATCCCCTTCTACTCCTCATCACGCTTCTCTTTCCTCCACGCGGGGCTCCTAACCGCCTGTCTCTCTCCGCTCCTCTTCTCCAACCCCGTCCATGCGGCCAGCAGGAAGTGCTACCTCCCCAATGGCGATGTTGAAGAGGGTGACGCGCCTTGCTTCCCGCAGAACCCTGAATCCGCCTGCTGCGGCGGGAGCGAATATGTCTGCGCGACAAATAATATGTGCGCCCACTACAAAGGCGGCTACTATGTCATAGGCAGCTGTACAGATCCCACGTGGAACAATCCCGCGTGTCCTGGATATTGTTTCTTCCGTCCGTTCCTCCCGTTCCCCCCTCCACATATCCATGTATATATATAGATGGATATATAGATATGGATATAATATACATACATATCATCCTAAACTAATGTATATAAAACAGGCGACCACATCCACAACTCCGTCTACCGCTGCACAGACGATACATACTGCTGCCTCGACGGCCCAGAATGTAACTGCACCACCAACGCCAACACGCAAAAAATCTTCGACTTCCTCCCCTCTTATTCGTCCCTCGTCGGCTCCTCTGTCTCTCTCAACACCGCGGCTCAGACTACATCCCTATTCACCCCACCCGGCGCAACCCCGCCGCCAACAACGTCAACATCAGCGACTTCATCGGCCGAATCCACTGAATCGACCGCATCGACAACTACTACGGGCACGGAATCCAAATTCACTACTCCGACTAGATTAAGTTCAGGGTCTGGGACATCAGGGGTAAACCCTACTGGTGCCGTAGAGGGGGCTGCGGGCGGACCCACTCCCGCGCCGGAATTACCTGTGAACCAATATAATGATAACGATATTGGTATGAAGATTGGGCTGGGCGTGGGTATTCCACTGGGAGTTATCGCAGTGCTTCTTGCTGCATTGGTATATCGCTTGTGGAAAAGGGGCGCTGGTGGGAATGTCAATGCTGGCCCTGGTTCTGGCCCTGGCGGTGCGGGATCTGGGTATGCTTCTGGATATACTTCAGACGCTGGTGCTGCCGCTGGCGCTGGCGGTATCGCTGGTTTCTTCAGTCGGATGTGGCGAAAGGACGACGTACGTATTTCTTGCGATAGTTACCTCTCTCTCGTTTCTAATTTCCCTTCTTTCACTCAATGCATCGCACATCGACAGGTTTCAACCTAGCTAAGAATACATAACGTAATATGTATAGCCAACAAGCCGCATTCCCATGCTCGCAAATACACCAGCAGCAGCCGAAGTGCCGGATACGTCCATGAACCAACCTATGAACGGCCACGGGTTCTCTCTAGCGTACGCCCACTATAAACCAGACGAGATAACTATGTCGCAGACGCCCCGGCCCGTTCATGAGGTCCCTTGATGGTGCATTTCATTTTATTTTGTGATCGTGTTGAGATTTTTTTTTTTTTTTTTTTTCTGGGGTGTATTATTAGAGGGATAAATAACTTTGAAATTTAAGAGTGGTTGGAATTGGTTTAAGCTAAACAAACCCCTGTGTTTTTCTACGCTGAAATAGCATGGTTGAGCGAGCTACTTCTTTGTGAAGGAAAAAAAAACATATATGTCGTCACTGTGATTCTATGCTTCCACCCACCCATTTTTCTTTTTCTTTTCTTTTCTTCCTATTTTCAATCTTCCTCATTCCCTTCTTCCCGCTTTATCTCTGTGCAACAACAACAACAGCGGTAGTTGCACAGGAAGTGGAAACTCCGAATCCGCCGATTTAACAGATGCATATATACCAACGGGGATACCCACAGTTGGGCCTATCCGCTGTTATTTTTAGATATTGTTCCTTTTTTTTTTTTTTTTTTTTTTTTTTTCGTCGTAGTTGAATTGCCGCGGCGAATGGAGGCGAACGATCACTTGTACTACGCGACGTACTGTACATACTCATTCATCACTTCCTCTTTCCAGAGTTTTTTTTTTGAAGTTCGAGTCATTAGTTACCCTTCAATTGATAATTGCTCCTATAGCCTTTCCTGTGACTTCTTTACCTTGCTTTTATCTGTTATATTTCCTCTAGTTTCTGGGAACTGTGCTGAATTTCCCAAGGAATTTCTCTCTCGATGTATGGTTTCTAGTGAGGCGGACGGATGCAGTGGTGCGGTTGAATGCCGCTCCTGGAGGAAACCCTTGCACTGCGTATTAAAATATCCCAACATTTGAAGACACACTGCTAGCCGGTAGGATTTTAATTCTACACCATGGTATGAAGTTGGTTCATTGTCGCATGACCTCATTTGGTCGGTCAGGAGTGAAATTAACCTTAGAATACGTGTTTGGAGTACATGTGCACGTTTTATCTGATGCATCTTAGAGACGCCATGATTAAAATTAGGAATTGGTTCAAAATATTAAGTAGATCTATCTATATATACCACGCCCTCCCGAGATGATACATGAAGCTTTGGTTATTTCGTTTCCGCTCATAACTTGACCCATCCTCCTTTCTTATCCTTCCAAGGCTCTACTCCTTTTTTGCCTTTACTGACAAATATAAGGAAGTAAAAGAATTATACGAGTAGCAATTTGGCTAAAGGGGAGCAGGAACAGATCTATTAAGTCGTTCCTATTAACTCGTTTTTAGCCACAAACGGACGGTGTGTGAGATGAAAAAAATAAAAAAAGGAGAAAAGAACCCGAAAGCCAAAGTATGAGCGAACTTTTCCTAGTTAGGAATTGTTATTAACCCCACGTATTGTACGCTGATCATCATCGTTGTCGTCGCCATGTAGTTGAAAGTCATCTTCAATGAATAAATGAGCTACATCTGCATCGCTCGGCAGGGGCATGGGCGTGGCGCCGCCTCTCGGGGTAATAGAGCTGCGAGATGTGGTTCGGTCAGTACTGCTACGCTGCAGTATGGTCACGGCGCCGTGTCTTGGGGTATTTGAGCTGTGAGATGGGGTTCCGGCGGCATTGATACCCTGTAGTATGGCCACGGCGCT